TTTTTTTTTAATGGGTTATCAACATACTTTGATGTTTGTATTACATAAAAGCGGTATGGATCACCATACACTCGTAGTACATAAAATAATTTCAGAAGGTATTTTATTAACGGAAACTGGTGCAAACAAGTACTTGCTACAACAATATATCTACATTAATATTTATAATTTGTCTACATTTTATAAGTACTGAGACAATAGGCACTGTGTGAATTATTATAAAAACAATCTATAACATGAAACTTCAAACTGTTAATGCACCGAGGGTACTTGTTTATATCTTCTAATTTTGTTACACGTATATATTGCACATAGCTTATAACCTTAACGTTGTTCTTCGTATAATTTATGGTCAATATAATGTTTTGATTGTTGTATTAGTTTGGGTTAGAGAAATCGACAGTTTCAAAAAATATATAAACTGGTCATTTTGTACCAATTCGTAGTTATCGTATAACAAATACAATCATAATGAATGTGATTAGCTATATATAAACTTAACGTTTGACGACAATTATTATAGTCTTACACGGTTTTAAAACCTATTGAAATTTATAATGGTAGTTACCTATATACGTACTTATCTTGTTTGGTTATTTGGTATTTACTAGTTGCTTTGCAATATATTAAAATAAACGTATATGGTATATACTAAAAAATCATGATAGCGTGTAAAACTTAATACAAATTTTAGATGGGTATTGCGAAAAAAAAAATATTTGACTACACAGCAGAAATTAGTATAAAGTAAAAAATTAACAAATTAACGCCGTGACTCGAATAAAATTAGTTTATTATTTTTTAATTGAATTATATTACGCTCAAGTAATCCGAGGTATGTCTGATATTTAACCTAAGTACACTTTTAAAATAATGAATATCGATTTTGACATGGACTAATGATTATAATGATTAAGTCGCACTACTAAAAATTACAAAGTTCCACCGAAAGAAAAATATTACTACCTATAATGTAATTGGCAAATAATTCATGAGGTTATAAAAAATGATGACATTATACTAGCATATACATTACACAAAAAAATATCGATTTCCTTATGAAAAATAGATAGAATATTGATAATATATATTATGTATTTATGTATGTATAGATGCACCACAAATCGAAAATGGTTGTGTTTCAATGTTTCTCTCGTGGTATCACGTTTGAATTAAGTAATAACAATAAGTAATAATAAATACCTAATAATTTATGTGGACTATGCAATAAATGTAAATCTTTTTTTACTGTCAATGGATGCTGCTATGCATGAACAAATAACGTTTGTTCGGTATATTTTTTAATCCAAAATGTTTATAAATGAGTTAAAGTGAATATAATAGTAACACATACGCATATTATATTATTATATGTGGGTTCAGGTAAAAACATTCAGGATTTTAGTTACTGATATTATTTGAAAAAGATACTTAAAGTTTTTAAAATATTTATATTATCACTTCCTAGAAAAAAAATCTATAGTGCGTTGTAAAAAATGTTTTATATGCGTTTTAAGTTCAAATTTGAATGAGAAGCAACAAAATTACGAAAGTGCGAAAAGTATAGCTTAAAATTATAACAACTTAAACATTAATAAATAAGAATTGAACAATTAATACAAGGCTTTTATACGAGTAGGATGTTCAACGGATTTTTTAAAAATATCAACAGTAAATAAGCACGAAATTTTTATAGACATTTGAAGTTCTAATATTGACAAAATTGGAAATTTAAAAATAAAAAACGATTTTATATCATTTGATTTTAATTATGATGGTTTATTTTAAGGACTAGTAATTTTTAAGATTTAAGTACATAACTAATGTCTATATTATGCAATGATAATTTCAAAATATTTTGACTACTTTTTAGTTATTTATAGTTTATACCACGAATCTATACACACGGTGCTATGTTATGTGCCATTGGCCTTTAATGGTTAATAACTATAATAATATATTATGATAACTTATAATAATTATCATCATTATATGTGTAATATAATATGTATGCAATATTTGTTATAAAAATAAGTTCAATAACCGATCAACTTATACTATTAAAAATAAATCATAAAATATCCTTAGAAATATAAGCTGACCAGCCGTTCCCTCAAAATCGTATTCGTATGCAATGAATTCTCATTGATTTGAAACTGAATACATCCATTACTGTGAAAATACTCAATGGCGAGGTAGGTACACTATAATGTTGTAGAGTGACATCATCGGTTTTTTTTTTATAACATAACTGCAAACTACGAACTGCGTTGTTATGGCGTTTTTTTATATTACGGTTTATTTTATAAAAATGATTTTTTTCCTTCCACATTTACAGTCCTGCGTGAGACAATCGTGCAGAGTCCGAGAATTCACCAAGGCGGGCATCTGGTTTTCATTAATATAATGTATATGATATACATAACGTTCATATTATAAACTATACAAATGTGGGTTTTTATTTTATTCACCTCTTTCCATTTGTGCTAACCACTGTGGAAGCGAGACCTATCCTTATCGAGCTCTCGACGCCAGACGATATAGAAGGGTTCACGGTGGTTGGCGAAGGAGATGATGGTGGTTGGTATATTTGACGGCAAAATCGAACTCTTCCGATATGCCGCAGCCTCCGTGACGGTGCAACGCAAGCACCGCACATGAATACGCACTCACACGCCAACACAATCATACACAGGCATACAAACGGACACACGCACACCCACATTTCGGCGGTTCAGCGGAAATAGTGGCGAATACACGCCACACATGAGCGGGGAGACGGGTAAACGAGTCCCCGGAGAATCGTCAACCCCCGGTCTCACTCAACCAGGGATCATAATTTTTACTCGGCACACGCACCCATAGAAGTCGTGGACACCGGTGCGGTGTCGGCGATAGGTTTTTTTTTTTTTTTGAATGAAAATTTATTATCGTTAGTCGTTGTTTTATTTGCAGACGACAACGGAAATGTTAATAACATAATAATAATAATAATATATATATACAACTCCGTCTATACGTGTAACGTCGATTGTACCTATGTTTATGTACCTATGCAGTTTACTACCACTTGCACTCACGTGCCACACCTTTTACGCAGCCCGGCTAGAACAATATTGTAATATACGTATGTATTTGTACTTATTATTTCAAAAATATTTTTCTGGTATTCCATCGTTATGCAAAATGTCAAATACGGATTGATTCATAAAATAAACTGAATGTTACTTAGCCCTTAGGGGTTCGTAAGCATATAATGATATGGAAAAAATTAATTTAATTTTACACTGACTTTTTATTTGAAAATCACAAATAAATATATGATAGCATGCATGACCACTGTACATTCTAACTGTTATAAATTGGTATAGTATTATAATTAATCGTTCAGCCATGTCAAAAATGTCAGATTTATTTTTTTAGTTATTATTATAGATAGTCGACTGTAATTTTACTATTATTTTCTTAATTGACATAATATACACATTTTATTTGCTTTTACACAAAGTATATCCTTGGTTCTGATTCTTGTAATTTAAAAGCATAGTATGTATGAAGAATATATTTTAATTTATTTATATTTTTTTAACATATTTAAAGAAATATGAATTGACTATTACGTATTTTATTCGTATGAGGAGTACTTTTTTATACATTGATTTCTTTTCTTTTTTTTAGAATTATGACGTATCTAAATCGAAACTTTAATCAGTATAGTTTCAAAGGATTTATGCTTGGTTATTCAATTTATATAATATAATAATGTTTGATATTAAATAAACCATGTGATCATAGCTCAAGCCAATGAGTGACTCGGACCATCGTATCGACAACGACTTATTCGTACAACAACCATAATATTACTATCATACCTTTGCATTATTTCTCTTAATCCTTTCCCCTTTGCACGAATATACTGTATAGAAAACGACTCATTCGAACGATACAACCGTAGTAGCATTATTATCATACCTTTGCATTATTTCTCATAATCCTTTCCTCGTTACACGAATAGGTATACACACGCACACAATTATACATTATAAGCACATTATACATGATATCATATAAAAGGGATGTTCTCGTCGAACCCATCCGATTCTGTAACAATGTATTTGTACGTGACCAGAATCTGTGGTTACTGCCCACAGTACCAAAGGATTGAGAGCTGAAAATTGATATCCACCTCCGCTGTTACATGCACTTGCGTCATTACCGCGCACCGCAGCCGTAAATGTTTTCTCGGGATCACGGAATTTCGTTTGAAGCAGATTTCATCGGATCGTAATTGGTGCGATTGTACACGTTCGTACAATAATATAACACTTCACTCACAATATAATTACATATTACTCGATTACAAAATAAACAAATTGCAATACTACAATATTAATATTATATTGTAATAAACCTACATTTACAATATTTATTTTGTAGGACATGACGTATACCCGTACCATAGACCTTTCACCGGTAAGAACCCCATGGAATTAATGTAGAGTTATAGAATAACGACTGGGCTATTATATTGTCTCACGGCGTTGGAGTTTAAAATAAAATCCATGGGACACAGTGGTTAATAAGGTAGAAAAAGTTTTGAGCGAACAAGTCGGAGTAAATGCAAAAGCGTTTAAAAAGTTCTGTTCTACATCTTTGTAATATATAAAATTAATATTTCTCGAGAAAAGGGACTGGCTGTAATGAGAAAACATAATTTAATAATTCATCAAATCCGGCTGGATTAAACATCGCCTTGTCTCATGAGAAATGTGTATTTCTAAATATTCATCATAATTATTCAAAAATACGCATTCATACAAACAATGTTTAATTTGCGATAATATTATATTTATCCGAGAATCAAGATTAATTAAATTCTTCGTTTCTAAATGTCAGAATAACTACATCACTGTTTAAAATATAATAAATATGTGTATATATTATAAGTCGAGATGCTAATGTATAGGAAATTTAATTATCCTTCCGGTAATATACCTTACCTATTATATTCTGTCGTACGGTTTCCTGTTACTAATATCACGCAGCTTTAAAAATTATAAAGCACGTTCGAATGTTCAGCACAAAATAACGTTGAAATCCCAACGCATCCACCTAAAAATAAATATTGATCACGAGTCTTATATTTTAATTAGTATATTATCACTATGCATACATATTTATACACTTTCAATAGAACTGTATGTACTTTAAACAAAGCAACAAACGCATTTTTAATTATTGTATGAATCAACCGATATAATTATTTAATACTGTTAGGTAAACTATAACTTACAAAACTTAATTATCTATCTATTTTAAGCAAAGCTTGAGTTAAAGATAGAGAGTGTAACAAAATAATAAGAATTTACAATTATATAAATAAATAAACAGTGTACAGTTTAGTTAGTTATTTAAATAAAACAATTTTAATATTATAGAAAAATCAAAATTACAAGAGAAATAATTGATTTAGTGTTTGAACATAGTTACAATTTAAAATTAAGAATCGTAATAAAAAATGGAATAGGTGCTAAAACTTCAACGTTTACCTATACATGTATCTTATAATTTCATAAACTTAATTATTAACATTTGTTATAACAGTACACAATATAATCGTATTAACCAAACAGTATTATTTCATTAAAACGATTAAATGATTTTTAGAGAGATATTCTTCATTGAATAATAAATTAACTAACTAAAATATAGTTAAATAATTTTCGCGTTTAACACAATTTTTAGCAATATTTTGAGTTTAAAATTAATACTTCAACCGAAAAGTGTATTCATTTCAATACTTGTGAATTACGTACATATATCATCATAAAAGTTTTCTAAACTAATATAGTATGCACAGAAATCATATTGTAGAATAAAATGTATTCTCAGATATTAAAACTTTAAAATTAATTCTTGACAATTATTAATTACCAAGAACTATTTCATGTACTAAATTTGGTACATACAAGTTGAGACTTACCTAAGTATAAAATGTATATTCATAAAAACATATGTACCTACAAGTGTAATAATATATTGTGTCATATAACACAACTTACTACGTACGTTATATCATATGGTTATAACAATGATGTGTAAACAATAAATTATGTTGTTTCGATTGCTGAAAAAGTGATTTGATCTCCTCCTGATTATCCTATTTCTAGTAGAAAACTGTAGATCATAGTACGTTAAAAATGTATTTTTTAATTTTCTCACGTTTTATTATAATGCATAAGAAAAACGCTCCAATTTACGTACGACACACCCGTTTTTCATACTATATAGTTTGATTTTGGATTTACCGTCATAATTTAATAATTATTATTGCTTCAGACCTTAAACTATAACCAGTTTTTTTATTTGGGGAACGTACAAATATAATTTAATTTAAAACAAAAAAATGCATTTCTGGATGAAGTGAAAAATTAGTATATTTTATTTTCGTTCAATTTACATAAAATAATAAATATTGAATGTTCGACCAAGTTTCACTCAGAATCGTCAATTTATATTAGTTTCAAACAAATAGTGACAGATCTATGTTATTTATTTCACATTTTTTAAAATTATTGTTTAGTATTTTCGGAATAAACCTTATATATTATTATTTATTATTGTAAAAAAAAATATTTTTTATTCAAAAAGGTTTATTTTTTGTTAAATAAGATCGTCATTAATATATAAATAATGACATACTATTATCTGTCCATTTAACAGTATTTATGGGTGTGTATATTTAATGCATATCATGATTGTGTGCGGTATATGTTTTTACAGTAAATACCCATCCATTAGTCAGACGCGATATTAAAATAATAATGTAAAAACTGTAATTGCACCCAGAAACGTAACTCCGGAAAATTGATGCGTACTCTTAATAATATATAATACCTATGTATGTATTGAGTAGTGTGTGTGTTAGATGAAATATTAAAATACATCATGAAAATTATACACATTACATATTCTACAGTATAATATATTGTAGGTACTATCTTTTTATGAATTCTGTTAAATATAATATAGTGTATTAAGTACATATTATACATTGTTGTTTTAACAGTTCATGATTTTGGTCAAGTATCTAATTTTAAAATTATAAAAGCATAAACTTTTCTCGGGCATAGTTGGTTTTTTAATTTATGGACTAACATAGTCAATGAATTTAAAAATCTGGTAAAACCATTTTTTTTTTTTTTAAATTTAAATCTCATTAAATAACTGGCATCAAATAAAATTTCTAAAACTGACTTCACTTATACACAGATAAGTTACATTTATACATTTACTAAAAATATAGTATATATTATACATGTGTGCACAAACATTTATAGGAAACATTAATATTAAAAATGCCATCTCTCCGGAAACACATTAGAAATGCAACGAGCACTTTCAGCTTAAATTGTTAATGAAATAAAACGCGAGCGAGCTCCGTCTCAAAAAGTTAATCGAATCAAACTAAGTTATTGAATAAGTCCGGTTTATATATACACTATTGAAACGTGAATACATAACCGAATTTCAATTTAGCAGACTTTCCACTCCACGCGGGCCCTGAGTAATATCTTCTGCAGTTCATATATATTATATAAATATAATATGAATGTTTGTACAGGACGATCAATTTATAAGTGTTTAGAACTTAGACAAGTGGAATAAAATGACAAAGGAATCCCCAAAGAATGTGTTATCCAGTTAGTCCATTACATCAGTCGTATAAAATTCAAATCATTATTAATACAAAAACTATAAAACACCAAAAGAATCTAAGCAGGTAACCAATATGATAAAAACTTAAAATATTTTATTTTTAATGCGTTGTGTATCATAAATACTTAAAAATATAAGACATTAAAAAATATTATGATACGTACACGGAACACTGTATGTGAACTACATATAAGATAAAATAATATGTTATGGATAATATCTATATTGTATTCCTCGTAAGACAACAATTTTTATAGCAATAATTTGAAAATATTTAAGATTCATAAACTCAACTTTTTGCTATAACTTATAATCATTCGAAATACCAATTGGGAAGAAATTAAATATTCATACAAATAGTAAAGAGTTTAGATACTTTCTAGTAGTTAAAAAATATTATTCGTGAGAACTTGAAACTTTTAACGTATATAATTATATTGTATTAGTGACATTTTCACTTTTTTTTTTTTATTACATTTTTAAGATTTTCATACCCTATGAGTGTGGTTGCTTGTAACTGAATATTTGAATGTACCTATTGTACATACATAATAATATGCATATTAATATTATATTATAATTTATATTTTATTACATAAAATCATAAACTATCAAATAAAGTTAATAATCAAGTAAAGGTTTTTTTAAACATATTTGTATATAATATGCACAATGCAGTCATGCAGAAAACCTTATTTTCGATCATATCGTTTTATATAAATAATAATTATATATAAGTGTTGTGTCGCATTTTTACATATTATTGGAAAATCAATCGTTTTTCACTATTGATAGAACGATATTATTGAGGACGTAATAACATTGAAAAGTAGGAAATCAAGCATTTATATTATTTTAACTCGTATTGTGAGGACATCATTAAAATATTAACTTATTAGTACTGCAAGAGTTATAATTACTTTATTTTACTCCTTTCTGCAGCACTTACATTATTATATAGCAAAAGCAGTTTGATAATTAATCATCATAAACCGTTAAAATACTTTAATTTGCCTTAAGAGATACTTAATAAACATTTACACCATCAATTTAAGTAATAAAAACTTAAAATATAAAATAAATTTAGAATATCGAATAAACTAAGTCGGTACCAACTAAAATGTTTAAACCTAAAAAAGATTATTTCCTTGCGATTTTACTACGGCATAGTTAATTTGTCATAATGAAGTATATGTACTCTAAATACTTTTAAATTACATTACTTTATCCAAAATTTATCTTAAGTAATCATTTTGAATAATTTCTGTCTTTAAATCCAACTCCAAAGTTCTCCTTTATTTCAAAGTATGACAACTAATAGTACCACGATATCAAATTATTTTAATTACTGCAGAGGTACCAAATAATTCCTGTATTTCAACGAAATAATATAATAATGATAACAGATTTATGAGAGCATAATATTTTACTCTGGGATTTCTTCACTGGGCTAGTTTTTAAAAACGATATATTATGTTTGACGCTTTCAGTTATCTTACAATGCGTTTTACATGAATATTATTAAAAACATATAATCATAACGCCATATTCCTAGTGAATTATGTAAAAAAGTCCTTTCAGCATTATGTGGGATGAGGGTTTGATACGCATGAGTGAGCAAGAGTAATCCTTTGCATTCTTCGTTCTTAAGTCAAAATTATAAACAGTAATTTTCGTGATTTCTATGCTTATTTAATTGAATTATAAATACAAACTATGAAAACGTTTGTGTGCGTGTGAATGTGTGTGTGTGTGTGTGTGTGTGTATGTGTGTGTGCAATCCTTTGCCAAGTTTATGGCATTCATGGTCCTGAAATATGGTTAATTGGTAATCCTATACCCGAGGATGTGCACCTTGAAGCCAATTTTGCATTTGCAATTTTGCATTTGAAAGAGGGTCTCGTAAAGGGATTTGTCGGCTCACGAAAAACTTTTTGTTTATACCTTTAAGGTTTCCATTGATCACAGAAAATAAAATTTTTATAATAATTGGATATACTCTTGGACCTGTATATTTGATTTGATCCGAACCACTCAAATTATTTTGTATTAAAAAATATATGGAGTTAATCTGGTCCCAGTGTTAATCTGGAATTTACAACTTGGAAGGGGGAGGGTGGCATAAACACATTGCTGAGAAGATGTGAGCAGACCTCCGGAAGTAAAACGTGTTTTTAGTTATTTACATAAATATGGAAAACTAATGATAAAAAAAAATAATAACAGCCATTAACCGAGTTTCACTAAATACTCGAATCTCGGATGGTGTACCTATTATAACTTTATTTTTACCTATTCAAATTTGAAGCAAAGAATTGTTTTTTTTTAAATTTTAATTGATTTAGAGAGAGAGGATTGTAAGAAAAGAGGTTAGGGAACACTGGTGTAAAGTA